GAATCGAGTCAACACGAAAATAAAGATTTCCAACCTCCAGAGGTATACCAATCCGACCTTGTTATAAGCATAGAATTGCTATCTCTCTTGTTCAATTAGTGTACTTTACTAAAGGAAGTTAATGCTTATAATAGAGAGAAATGTATTGGTTAATAGTGTTTAACTGAAAAGTGAAAATTAGAATTGTAAGAAACTAACAGTTTAGTAAATGTTTAACAATTGATGTTAAAAATGTATACTATGTTGAAAGACCTAATAAATGTTGATCTATTTTGTTTTATGTCAGTCTTGGAATCCGCTTCTTTATTCTAACTGTACATTACCTCAAGTTAGCAACCTGTGAGCTCCACTCACCACTGCAATCCTCAACTAAATATGTGTAATCGGCAGTACAGTCGAAGCTCCAATGACTAGCCCTAAAGAAATTGCCCATTACAAACTGAATTAAAAGCCAAATCCAATTTGTGCGGGTAATATAACAGTGAAGAGTATGTACAAGATATAGAAGTCTAAATGGATCAAACTGAGGATAAATGTGGGAAATTGGAAAAAGGAGGAGTTACCCTCTCGAGCCATTGAAGTTTTGAGGAGGAAAGAATGATCCAAGTAAAGAAGAATATATGTGGAATGATAAAGAGTACATGAAACATCGATAGCAAATAAATCTGAATTCAGATGTCTAAAGGCTAAAACGAGAAGGAAATAAGTCTTAAGGCAAAGGTTAAACAAGGAGCATGTGGAGAGCGGTTCAAATAAAGACATGGTGAGGCAGTGAAGGACCACATTAACATCCCAATCCAAAAAGGTATCCCGCCGAGGTGAGCGACAAACTCGAAAGAAACACATCAAAAGGGAAAGAGTAAGAGAGGTAAACACCCTACAGTATTGGGAAAAACAAAAAATGTGGGATAAGGCTGCCCAATAATGAAGAGACAGACGACCCCCCAATCGAAAAGCCAAGTTAGGAAATCCGCAATATGAGGAACAAATGGTGGAAAACATTCTATTTACGTTGACAAACTTCCCTGGAGGAAGGACGAATGGAACTAGCTAGAAAATAAGCTAAATTACTCAGCAAAAATTTATGTTTTAGTGAATCACTAAAAAAAAAGATGATGATAGTATCTGTATAGACTGCACACTATAGGGGTAAATATCTTTGTAGTCCCCAGTATCTATTTCAAATGATGTGAGGTCAAACAGGTATCTTGATTTTTTGCCAACAATGTTCTTGGTCAAGATAAATTTATATCTAATAAAAAATAAGTTATTTTATTAATATGCATGTTTTCAATAGAATAAATTTACCAATAATATTCATGAAATATCAGAACATTTTGCCATCGCTTACTGTACTCACTTATTCTAATGAAGCTTATCTAATATACTGTTACTGAAGAAAATTTCTGTAGCTTCCAAATATATTTAAAATAAAAATATTTTCAGGAACAAAAAGACATCTATAGAGATCATAAACAAATTCCCAGATCTTTGGTTTGTCCATAAATCCTCCAAACTTTCTATAAGATTCTGTTCCATTTTTTTTTATCTGCAGGAGCTATTTCTAATCGCTTTTATACAAAACTTCTAACATCATTTTATAACTTGTTTATAATCTGCTCTATCAAATGGTATTTAAACTTTGTAACTATTTTTAAAACTGAGCTTCTTTAGTAGTTGTTCAGACCACATGCTGTGACCTCATAAACAGGTGATACAAAAATCTATAATAAAACCTCAAACAGAAAAGGTAAATCAAAGAAACAAGAATTCATTTAAGGTATTCTCAAAAGATGAATTTCTTTTTCAGTAAATAAAAACCAAAGCTTTGTGATCAATAGAAAAATTCTAAAAGAAAAAAAATTAAGAATTAAGTATGGACATAGTTTCCATTTGTTTAGCAAATTACACTAAATAAATGTTACAAAATGACAAAATATTAATTATAAAATATTTCTGAGATAAAAACTGTTGAAATAAAAATTATCATTATATTCACTTCAATTTCATATCTATGTAGGTGTATACTCAACACCAGAAAAGTGATCTAAGGTCCTGAAAATGTTACGATAATTAAATTCTCCTTATTTTTCTTTTAGTTAAAAAAAGTTTAGTCTAATAAATAGGTTGGCCTAGTTAACCCTCTCCAGACCATGTCATCGCGTTTGTTGATTTGCATTAAAAATTTTATTGAACTACTATTGCATGAATTTATGTCAATATGTTTGGTATCAAACTGTATATTATAATTCAAATTTGAATACTATACATTACTCAGTTTAAAAAAAATACACCTAAACATTGATTTTTGTGTGTCACGTGGTATGTTGAATGCAGTACTGGTTCAAATTAGATGTTTCTAAGGTCAAAATACAAAGTCTATGGTTTTGTATGAAGTAGAACTCAAATTACTGATATGAACAAGCTAGAATATAAAATAAGAAACTCCTATCTTTTCTATTTGCTGAGATATCGCTCATGTACTGAATCGAACACAGTGGCCCCTGCTCATCCCTTTCCATTTTTGGAAACACTCCCTTATATACACTTACTTCTGTCTACGGCATGTGAATAACCAACTGAAAGCTGAGAATGTCCTTCAGTGGCTTTCTCAGCCATTTTCAAGTATTACGATGTCATATTATTCTTTTGATACAAATCTCCAAGCTGATAAGGTGAGTCTTTAGTCTGCTCGAAATTTCATATTTTCTTAGACCAAATACAGCTTAGTTACTAAGCTTGATAAATTATAGTGGAATTCTGTGGTTTCGATATAGTATTTTATGAATTTTTGGTTATTCAACTGTTTATATAAAACCAAAAAAAATTATTTTGTTTTGCAAAATTTTAAAAGGCTTAGCAACCTATGTCAAGCAGCAACCGAGTATAAAGGTCGTAACTAGAAGAGATAATTGTTTGCTTTGCTTCTTTAGTTACTATTCTAAATACACATATAATGTATAATAATGGAAATGTGACTGTATTTTATAAAATAGTAGTCTACTAAAACACAGCCAAGACAGGTCACTCTGTAAAGACTAAAGGTCAGTCTTATATTATTGGATACGGTAACATGAGAGCACATGTGCCACGTCATTGTAACTTCTGAATTGTTATAAATGTATAATGTTATGAAATTTCAGCTATTTAGTCTAAACATTTATGATTTCGTGTTATAATTTGTTATCATTCTAGAATGAAATAGGGATGTTATATTTATTTCCTAATTTTTTTATGGTGGTTACAAGATCGGTCAAATCTACCGAACCCATACAGAGATTTGTTAGTGAAAATAACAGATAAAATATAAAGTTTTTTCTTAAGAAATGTTTGATAGCTATCTGGACATTATAAAGATTTTGTATTTGAAATTTGAAAATTTTCTGATGCATAAAAGTATTTTTAATCTTAAAATGAAAATTACTTTGCATGATAAATAGGCAACATGCAAAAAGAAAAAAAGGCTTAACAAACCTTAAGACTTAATAAAAAAAATTATATTTTGCGTATGAAAGCATTGTAATGTTTACTGATAATCTGCCAAATTTCGTTAACATATGCTTAATAATTTAAGTTATAGCATGAAAACTATAACAAACACAAAATGGTTACAAGGTTAGTCCCAAGGACCACCAGTGCTGAAGGAGTTAAACTAAAAGGTCCCTTGATGTCCTTAAATTTGATGTTATACTAATACTTATGATAATTCTTACCTTTGCTTAAAAACTTTAAGTGATAAAACAACAAAATTTTGCCCAATTCATTTAATTTATTTGTCAAAAGCAGTGTTAAAAAAGAATATGCATACCCTCCTGAAATATATTTGTCAGAAAGTATTTCAGTAATGAGATTTGTTCAACAGTGTCATGATATAAAAGACTGTTTCGTTTAAATATTAGTGATTAATTTATATTTGTGAGTGAATATTTTATTATTTTTGGGTTTTGTTATAATGAAGGTTAAAGGCGGACGATTGTAGAAGGTTTTGTTGATAACTAATTGGTGTCGAGAATATAGAAAGTGGCCAGACGACTGTGTAATAAGGGTGTAAATGGCGTGAAACGAGCGGGAAGTAGCAGACAGACAGTATTAGACAGATAAAAGCAAATAGAATATAGTTGGTGTGAAGTTAAGTAATGTAAAAGTGATAGGCTTAACAACTGACATAGGCCTAACGTTTAATATATATATCGGAGTGAAATTAACAGTGGAAAATGAAATAAAAAAAAAATAAGTTTATTCTGTCAAAGCGAAATTCTAAAGTAATTGAATCATCCTGAGTGCACTTTGACAAAAGGAACATAAGATCTTCAGAAAAAAGAAGACCATAATCATAAGTAATTCACACCAGACTAATATTGCGATAGTATTAGAGAAAATAGTTCTGCTTGTCAACTAAAATTCTAAAGTAATTGAACAGGCCTAAATGGTCTTTTGACAAGAAGAGGAGAACTATAAATGTAGTGATATAACGTTAACGATATGCTCATACTCTCTATAGTGTGAATACTTTATTGTACATATGTTACTTGTTCCGAATATATATATATATAATTTGAAAAAAGTGTATGCTATTTATTCATCATTGAATTTATCGCTAACAAGTCACAGATAACTACTGTAGAAGAATCCTAAGCCCAACAGCAACATAGTAAATGTTTATACTATTAAAAAATATAACTAAAAGCCATTTATTTCGATAATTGGCAAAAAAAAAAATACAGAACCCATATACATATATGATATTACTTTTAAATTCTAACAAACAGATTGATTTACCTTGCATTGGTTTAACAGTATTTTAAACATAAAGGTTTTAGTAGTATTAGTTCCATTATATTAAATAATTATATGTAGTTTTAACTTATAAAAACATTATCTCTGTTCCTATGGCTAATATAATTAAAAGAAATCTGCTAATCAACTTAAAAGATAAATAGAACTTAAAACACTGCATAAAATGGAAGGCCTATTAACCTGATAACACAGTTGTTTCCTACCTTGCATTTTCATATAGCTTGACAGTCAGAAGAGTGTCCTCTATAGTCTTATTACACAGTGTATTGAGGCATGAAACAAAGAAATTCAAAGCTCCTAAGAGTGTTTCTCCATTCTTTCCCAAATTTCTCTGTGTTTCAGAGTTATAAAGGAATTCTTCCTGCAGTTCTGGGGACTTGTGAGCTAGGTCAGAGAAAGACTCAGCAAGAGCATGCTGTGTCTGTACTACATGATAGAAGTGGCTGGCCAGAGCCCGAGCCAACCGAAGAATGTTGGCATACTTCCTCTGTGTCTCTCGAAGCTGTTCAATCTGACATTCTAACTCTGAGTCCACTGTTCTGCTGCCCTGAAGAAAAAAGAACATTTAGTCAGTCTTTAACCAAACAGAGAAGTTTATGTCTAAACAAATAAAGTTTAGCACCAGTAAAAAATCACATGAACCATCTTCAAGTTAAAATACTGCAGGTTTCTTGATTTTGGAGTTAAAGAATATTTAAAGATCTAATTTTATTTTGACTTTTGGCTTGGTTTGTTTGGAATATTGTACAAAGCTACATGAGGGCTATCTAATTTAGCAGTGAAAGGCTAGAGAGAAGACATCTAGTCATCCCAACCCACCTCCAACTCTTGGGCTACTCTTTTAACAACAAATAGTCGGACTGACAACCACAATATAATGCCCCCACAGCTGAAAGGGTGAGCATGTTTGGTGGGACAGGGATTCAAACCTGTGACCTGCAGATTGCAAGATGAGCACCTTAACCACCAATTTTGTTTTGATTCTAATGGTTTTTATGAGAAGATTTTTATGTACATTACTCAGCTATGAGGTTATAGTATTTTCCAATTAAATCATCAAATAATTCTAAGAGTTATTATTAAGCTTACATGAGGAAAACATGAGAAGTTAAAATCATGTTAAATTAATCCTTCTATATATGAAGACCTCCCCAACTCAGCTTTTACTTCATTATAATTAACAATATTAGATTAGAGTACCTTTTCTGTAATAAACATTAAAGTATAAAACTTGTGGTGAAAACCACTGTTTATATAATGTTTCAAAGCAATCAAATCATGATAACTTTCAAGTTCTTAAACTTTGTTACAATGTAAATACTAGATTTAAATTCAAAATTATTTTATTTTAAACAGTGATTAGTCTTTAAAAATGAGCATTTTAGCTACATAATCAGTTATACATATAGTGTTTATTTCTAATACAGAATTGCATTCAGTAATTTAAGTTTTATTAGGTTTAACTCTTTCAGCACGGGTTTGGTCACTGGGACCAACTTCGTAACCATTTTGTACTTGCTATAGTTTTCATGGTATAACTTTTAAATTAGTAAGCGAATGTTAATGAAATTTGGCACATTATAAGTAAACATTACAACAATTTCATACACGAAATATCAATTTTTTTTTATTTAGTCTTAAGGTTTGTAAAGCAATATTTTTCTCATGCTTTTTTCTTTATTTTCACATGTTGCCTATCTAACATGCAAAGTAATTTTCAAATTTCACATGCAAAATCTTTATAATATCCAGATAGTTATCAAATGTTTTATAAGAAAAACTTTATATTTTATCTATTATTTTCAGTAATGAATCTCATGTACAGGTTCGGTAGATTTGACCAATCTCGTAACCACCATAAAAAATTTAGGAAATAAATATAAATTATGCCTCTTTCATTCTAGAATGAACACAAAAATAAATGTTTAGACTAAAAGCTTAAATCTCATAACATTATATATTTATTATTTTTATTATATTGACCTTTCAGCCGTGTCTGGCTAACAATACAGAAGTTACAATGATGCGGCACATGTGCACTCATTTTTCTTAAAACATAGAACAGTAAATAAAGCAAACAATTATCTCTTCTAGTTTGTACTTGGTTCCTGCTTGACATAGGTTGCTAAGCCTTTTAAAATTTTGCAAAATGAAATACTTTTTTTAGGTTTTATATATACATTTGAATAACTAAAAAATCATAAATTACTACATCAATACCATAGAATTCCACTATAATTTATCAAGCTTAGTAACCAAGATGTATTTTAGTCTAAGAAAATATGAAATTTCGAGCAGACTAAAGACACAACCTACTTCCTTGAAATATAGGTTCAAAAGAAAGAAATGGCATACAAGCCCGTTAAAATGGCTAAGAAAGCCACTAGGGGCATTCTGAGCTTCCAATTGGTTTTCCATGTCATATATAGAAATAAGTGCATATAAGGAAGCATTTCCAAAAATGGAAAGAGGTGGGTGGGATGCCACTGTGTTTGATTTATTACATGAGCAATATCTAATAAGACTTTCTTATTTTATATTCTAGCTTGTAAATATGGGTAATTTCAGTTCCTAAGTCATACGAAACTACAGACTTAGTATTTTGACATCACAAGCATCTAATTTGAACCAGTGTTGCATTCAACATACCACCTGACACACAAAAATCTGTTTTTTTTAACATTTACTTTTAAATTAAGAATTTGAGTAAGGTATAATACTAAAATTTCAATTATAATACACAATTTGATACCAAACTTATTGACATAAATTCATGAAATAGTAGTTAAATAAAATTTTGAATGCTACTCAACAAACAAGATGACATGGCTTTCACCCATGACCCATCTCAAAAGGGTTAAATAGATTATTAGCTAATTGTACTTAAGTTCAGAAATTAATAGAATTATTTTTACACTAATTTGAAAATACAGTTTAATTTTGCTGTTGTTTCCCCAAGAATATGAATCAGTAGCACTGCTTAAGTAATTCAAGCAAATACATTTTGTTTTGGTAAAAAATACTGGCAGTAAAAATTAATACTTATGTTAATGCCGTCCATGCTTAATTAATACATGTACAGTCTTTGGAGTTACCATAAAGTTTAATTGTGAATGCCAGGTTCAAGACAAATTCACAAATATTACAAAGTGAATTCTGTTTCAGTCTGTAAATAACTTATGTAAATTATTTATTTTTTCTGATATTTGTTTTAAATGCATAAACTATGAGGTATATCTATATTAAAATTTGGTTGTTCATTGAATTTTGCTAACAAAAAAATCATGGCAATTAGCTGAACAGCTAAATTTCCTTGAGACATTTGTAACAATGCCATTCCACATCAACACCACATGTTTAAGTAGTTTTAACAGGACAGTGCATACAACCTGATTATTGAGCTTAAACAATAGTAAAGGTATTATTTTATTTATTTCAAATGTACAACACCTTTAATGGCCAGTCTTTCTAAAACAAAAAAAATTATAATGAAATAAATGTGCTTACTTTCCCTAGTTTTTCTGAAATAATCTGTCGGGTACACTTGTAGGTTGAAATGCTCCATTGTTTGAGTGTGTCTATCTTTGACTGAGGAGGTCTTGTCACTTGAGATCTTGAGTCTTCTCCATTCTGGGAGGGACTAGGACTCGACAATGGCACATTTGTATTTGCTGAAATCAGAGTTTTAGTACAGAAAAAAAACTAACTTTTTAAATCATTTATTACTGATATAAAAAAAAACAAATGAAGTTTGTTTTTATAATTTATCAGTTTTCAAATCAGCTTTGACATATGGTATTATAATTTTTTTTTTAAATACTGAGAATAAAACCTCTTAATTTGGTGGTTATCACTTAAATATTTAAAAAAAACAATGAATTAACAACTAGCAAAAATTTATTAGACACCTGTATATTGACTAGTTCTAGTTTGGTAATGAGGATGTATTTTCATTTTTAGAATACCTGTTGAGGCATCTTGTCAGGTAATCTGAGTAAATTTTATTGTTTTTAAGGAGTTTACTATGTTCAAAACTATATAGAAAACTGGTTTACATTTTGGAACAGATAACAGTTACAAATTAACCTTAAGTAAATAAAATAAAAAACTTTTCTGGCAATGCTGTAAATGTAGAGACTAATTAAAACATATTCTACACAATGACAAGTATCTTTTGGGACTTTTTACAGAAATATTTAAAGGATTGCTATTTATCTTAAACTTTGAAGCTCACCTGGAGGCATTGGAGGATTCCACTGACCACTGGCTGGAAGAGATGTAGGAGGAATCACTGTTCTGTGAGATCCAGAACCAACAGATGGTTGAAATTTATTATCACTGTTACTGGCACTTTTTGAATGAGAAGGTGTACCTCCATGGACTACATCATTGCTTTCATTCATGGATGGAACATCATGTAGAACGTTTTGAAGGTCTCTGTCATACTCCAAACCTGAAGCTGGTCCATTAGAAGCCATTGGCTACTTTCAACCTAGATAGAGTAATAATTATGTTGTTCTTAAACCAGATGTTCTGTCAAATACGATAGCACTAGTATTAAATTACGTCTAAGTTAAGATTAAATCATTTAAAGTTGCCTATAGTATTCATATATAACTACCACTTTTAACATTTAAAATTTCGCGTAAGAAATGTTCATACTTAATTCTCATGACAGATGTTACTGATAATGATATCAAAATTACTAAAAATAAAATTCTTAATCATACTTTGAAGCTTGATATACATATTGAATGTGAATATTGAGTACATTACAAAAAATGAAAATTCACAAGATACTTCCAGTTTCAGGTAATGCACAAAATAACATATCGACAAACCTAGTCGATATAATAAAATTAACACCATAGTACAAGTTATAACGTGTAAGTTTAACGGGTGTATTCGTACTCCACCCTACACACGCTTCTTAAGCCTAACAACAGTAACACAACTACATTACATGTTCAGGGTTCACTCATTCCTAAATCATTCACTTTTCGACTTTGAATCTGGCCATACACAAGCCTAATATATTTCAGTAACATAATCAGAAAATAGATATAAGGCTAAAAACATGTCAATACTACAAACTAACTTTTAATTCTACATAATACTTACAAAAATAAAGAAATTTTAAAAAAATGTAATAATAATTCCTCCCTCGATCTTAACCTACGTAGCTTAAAATGGAACAACGATTCTAACCACTGTTTTACTACTTCACTTAATGACCCCTAGATAGACTTTGGGAATAATTCCAGAATAGAACCCTGTTCTAATACGAAACAACTTAATTATTATTACTTAAATATATAAGAATTTTTAGTAATCGTAAGATAACTGACAACTTTCTCCAGTTGATACTAAGATGTATCAACTTAATGAATAGCTGTCTCAAAACGGAGTTAAAATTAAATCAATTTATTTCGATGAAGTGGGTTAACTTGTTAATGACCCATCATGTCATTCCATTTGCATCCTTTCTTTAGAAATTACCATAATATATTAAGTGAGATTTAAGCTCATTCGAAAGGTTGGCTTACAACGTACAAGTTCTAAACCAAAATGCTATCTATATTGGTTGGTTATAACTTATAAGATAACAGAACACCTTGGCTGGGAGAGCATGA